AGATTTCTAGAACTGCTCGATCGTGCAGATTCGCACTCTATAACATCAGAAAGATCGGACCCTTCCTATCTGAACATGCAGCTCAACTCCTTGTTCAAGCTCTTGTTCTCTCCAGACTGGACTATTGCACTTCTCTACTAGCCGGGCTTCCAGCTAACTCTATCAAGCCTCTTCAGCTGCTCCAGAACGCAGCAGCACGAATGGTCTTTAATGAACCTAAAAGAGCACATGTCACTCCGCTACTCATCCGTTTGCACTGGATGCCAGTTTCTGCTCGCATCAAATTCAAAGCTCTGATGTTTGCTTACAAAGCGATTTCTGGCTGCGCCCCTTCTTATCAGCTCTCACTTCTACAGATGTATGTGCCCTCCAGAAACTTACGTTCTGTGAATGAACGTCGCCTCATGGTTCCATCCCAAAGAGGGAAGAAATCACTTTCCCGAACGCTCGCGTTTAATCTGCCCAGTTGGTGTAATGAACTCCCTAACTGCATCAGAATGGCAGAGTCACTCGCTGTGTTTAAGAAATGACTAAAAACTCAACTATTTAGTCTCCACTTCCCTTCCTAATCTGCAATTGCCTCTCTAGATATACCACTAACTGTACCCAAAAAATGACTGAATGTAAAATGTAAATGTAAATAATTTTTGGGTGGACTGTTTGTTTAAATTCAAGTTTAGGTTTAACTGTATTGGTGTTGTAATTGTAATTGATGACGTGTGCTTTGTGCTCTTCACGCATTGACTACTGTAATGCCATTTTCATTTGTCTCCCTGCCAGCCTCATCTCCAGATTACAATATATTCAAAACTCTGCTCCAATACTCACTCATACCAAATATTCTGCTCATATAACCCCAATCTTGTACGACCTCCATTGGCTCCCAGTTGCATATCGCATTCAATTCAAAATTCTCCTCCTTGCATTTAGATCCTTAAATATCTTAGCTCACTCTTATCTTTGCAATATGCTTGTCCCCTACACCCCTACTCGCTACTTATGTTCATCTGACTCTGGCCTTCTCGCTGTCCCTCGGTACCCCCTCTCTTCAGTGGGGGGGCAGATCATTTAGTGTTATTGCACCCAAACTATGGAACTCTCTACCAAGCTCACTCCGCTCTGTTAATATCATCTCAGAATTCAAATCTTTACTTAAAACTCACTTATCTTCGGTTTTCTGTTTTGCCAAACTGACCACTCTATCTGATCCACCTGCACTTGGCTTATTTGTCTCTTAGGTCTTGTTTTTGTGTTTCCAGTTTGTTATATTTGACTTCCTGTATGTTTGTGTATAAAATGCTGTCTCCTGTACTATCTCTTTTTGTTGCATCTTTGTAAAGTGTCATTGAGCTCTCGAAAGGAGCTATTTGAAAAAAAATGATTAATATTATTATTTGTATTATTATTATTATTATTATTATTATTAATAAATACAAAATAGGCACACTTTTTTGTAGGATTTCTTTTTTCAAAGTACATAAAAATATGTTTGGCTTTTTATCTGTCAGGTACCTATAAAAGGACAAAATGCCTTCTACTTGTTGTCTGTCCTTCTACCTGGTTTTGAAAAGCATAGTGGTTTAATTACAAACAGCTACACACTACAATTCGTTATGGTACACAACTTTCTAGTTTTGAGCTTGAAAAGCTAGAGGAATATAATAGTATACACTTAAGTATGCTGAAGCACAAGCCTGTGGACCTATTCCTCAAATAGGTTTCCAAGAACCACTCAAACAGGAGAATTCTGGGTAAATCATTGTGGTTAAATCTAAAATGACCTTTCATAATCCTCTCTCAATGACAATTTACTTGAATCAACATCATGAATATAGTTTCTGCACGAGATTTCATATGTGCTTGCAATCTTCCAAGCACAGTTAGGGGACTATATAATGGTAATAAATTTATTTGTATTTGTTATTTATTATTAATAAATTTATTTTTATTATTTTATTTTTTATGTAATTTATTTATGTTTTTTTTTTAACTTATAAATCAGTATTAACCAACATTTTTACTATGTATTTACTTTTTGTGATTATCGGATAAAAGGATTTTGGGATGTGATGCTTGCAATATTACTAAATTACCAAATGGGCATTTACTTTCAAGTGATATGCAGTGTTTCAAAGAGAAGTTGAAAAACAGTAATAATAGCATATTAATATCAAATTATTATTAAGTAAAAATCTTAAGAAGCATTATGAATGGACCTCAGACTGTAAACATATTCTAATAATTTTTTTAAAACTGCCGTTCATGACCCCTTTAATTCATTGAAACATGAAAGTAAAGTGACTTCATGTCTCTTTTTAGGACAGTCATCTTGTCGAAACAGCAAAACTTAGCAAGAAAAGCTTATTGCATCTTATTTTCTGGGAAAAGACCTCATTTCCTCTTCTTAGAGGTATTTTCTGGTCACGACTGGATCACGGATAAACATCTGGGAGAATTAAGCAATATTTCTCTACTGCATGCTTACAATCTGAGATTTTTCTTAGGACAGGATGGTTTATCTTCTATCTGTATATATCTATGTTTATATATTTTATGTGTTTTCACTTATTGCATCATGTTGTGCTTAACATCTTTTCTATTTCTGGCAAGGATGACAAAAGAGAAAATAAGGACAAATTATGAAAAACTCTTTTCCTTTTTTTTCTGTCTTGAAGTACAATAGGAAACGTGTAGGGGGATAGAAGATTTTCCACTAGTAATTCGATTGTGGGCAGGCCCGGATTGGCCAATCAGGAGAACCGGGAGAATTCCCGGTGGGCTGGTCCATTTTTTTGGCTGCGAGGGCCGGTGTCCCTGGCTACTTGCACCCTCAGCAGTCGCACATTTGTTCATTTATTTGTTTATTTGACCATAGCCTCACTCTTTTTATTCATAATTTTGCTGCAGCTCCGCTATTTTTATTTATTTTCTCGCAGCCTCGTGAGCAAAATGCAGCCCGCAGGTTAATGATGATGTAACTATCATTCCACCCCAAACAGCGGCACCTTAGTGCATATTAATTAATATTAATCAATATTACACCTGCTCAATGAAAATCAGATGATTACCTACATTAATAAATCTGACATAACTTGATCAGAAATCTAAAAAGGGGAGAAAAGAGTAGACATCAATAGCAGCAGATAACAGTGCAATACTTATCCTTTATCCCGAACACATCACCTTAACAGCGCCAACTCGGTCTAGTGGTTAGCACATTGCGTTATGATGCTGCTTATCTGAGTTCGAACCTCCCCTGAGTAAAATTTTTTTTTTTTTCATTTTTAGTGTTAAGACATAAAATACTGTTTCGGTTACTTATGTAGGGGTATACACACACATATATATATATATATATATATATATATATATATATATATATATATATACATAATTTTATTTATTTTTTGTTTTTTTTGTGACGACCGTTACAAAGGACTGGATATCTATAAAGAATTAATGTTCTCATATTCATGAAAAGCATTTTAAGTTCTAAAGAAGCTCTGTCCTTGAAATTGGAAATAACGTTATTTTAATAGAGTCAGTCGTCGACTAAGGTGGGCCGGTCTAGCGCTTGAAACTCCAGAGCTAAAAAGGAGTCCCACTCCAGCCCTGATTAGGGGTGTTTGCCTATTAGGGCGAATACAAAATATACTATCACTGAATATATTTGAGCGACCGCTAATATACCTTGGCAGCCGCCCAAGTAAAGTCTATGGGCCCTATCATACACCCGGCGCAGTGTGAGAGTCGTTTTGAGGCGTTGCGCTACGCTGTTTAAATAGCAAATGCATTAGCGCTCATTTGTGCGCCCATAGGCGTTCTTGTCTAAATAGGAAGGCGTTCTGAGGCGGACCGCTGGTGCGTTGCTATTTTGAGAAACTATAATAGATTTTTCATTAGACCAAAACTAACCCGGTCTAAACTCCTGCGCAGAGTTGCGCCTCGGTTACACACTTCTTAATACGCACAAGAGAGCAATAGGCAAATATCGTTACATATGAAAAAATTTAAATATTAAGGATATATATAGTATATAATAAGAATAGATATAGAATATAAATTTAAGGGAATAAAATATTACAAAACATATTATTTTCTAGCCTACATAAATATGAAAAATCACTGCTTTTATGTCTTCATCTCGGGAGGCTTTTTCAATTCATTCATAACAATTTGCTTTTGCTTATTATTATTAGCAGTATTATTTATTATATCCATATTTATATTTGTTTTATTAAAAACAAGCTTAGATTTGCCCACCTGTCAGGTTTTAGACCATATGGGGCATGGCAGGTGTATTTGGAAATAACTCAGTATTTTGACCACACTTGGTCATTATTGTTCATTTATTCGTTTGCTGGAAATTAGAACTGAATTTAGAAATAGTTTTGAAACAAATCTTTGCGCTTAACAAATGAAATTAATTATTTATAGGCTAATTGATGTCTGTGCGTAAAGGTTTCCCTATCCAAGAGCGAATGTGAAAGTAGTTCCATTATCTCTCATTCTCACGCAGTAGATGCTCTGTTTAACAGTTTTCTGTTAAAAAACTGTCAACTGTTAACTGTTTGCTTGTGAAATGCTCATTTTTTCCACTTGGACTTACTTTACGTCCTGTAAATATCGAATGCGCTCTTGGCGCGACACAGCTGACTCTTAAAGGGAATGGGAGATGAGACTCTAATTGGTTTATTCTCAAAACACACCTAAAACTCATTAAGAAAATAAACTCAACCCTTTTAGACCATGCGCCACGGCGCAAAGCAGGTTTTCCCGTCCATAAATTAGCAAAAATGTGTCCTGACACACCCTGAAAGCGTTTGCGCCCTGCGTTTAGCGCTCTGCGCATGGACCGTCAAAATAGAGCCCTATGTGTGGGAAGCCATGCGTGACATGAAAAAGACTGCTTAGAGATATTTTTCAGACCAACTGACCAATTAAAATGAAATATTCCAAAGCACCATTAGAATAACCTGATCAGAAAACCTCGTACTCACCACCAGGTTTCCTATGACCATGACCAGCATGAAGACCAGGATGCAAAGCGGCTGTCCGGCCACCTCCATACAATCCCACATGGTCTCGATCCACTCCCCGCACAGAACCCTGAAGACGATGAGGAACGAGTGGAAGAAGTCCTTCATGTGCCAGCGAGGAAGAGTGCAGTCGTAGCTGATCTTGCAAACACAATCCTGATAGTTTTTCCCAAATAGCTGCATGCCGACCACGGCGAAGATGAAGACGATGATGGCCAGGACCAGCGTCAGGTTCCCCAAAGCGCCCACAGAGTTACCGATGATCTTTATCAGCGTGTTGAGGGTCGGCCACGACTTCGCTAGTTTAAAAACTCTGAGCTACAGACAAAAAAAGAGAACATCAAAACAATTTGCCCTCCCAGGAAATGTTCTTTTTCAAATATTTCCCAAATGATGTTTAACAGAGCAAGGACATTTTCACAGTATTTCCTATAATATTTTTTCTTCTGAAGAAAGCCTTATTTGCTTTATTTAGGCTAGAATAAAAGACGTTTTTAATGAAAACAAAATTAAGGTCAGTATTAACAGCCACTTTACGCAATATATATATATATATATATATATATATATATATATATATATATATATATATATATATATATATATAATTTTTTAAAATTGTCTACAGAACAAATTATCCCTATATAATGGTTTACCTAATTACTCTAAAGCCGCGGTCACACTAAGAGTTTGTGCTTGCAAAATTCTGTCATACTGCACTGCGAAAAGGGGAGGGATAAAAACACGTTCATGAAGCAAGCGATTGCATATTTGCTCCAATTTCTGTCCAGAGAGTTCATGTTTTAATCTTTTATTGGTCTCTTGCAATCGTGTGATGTGATTTCGCAGGTCAGAGTTCACCAAGCTTTCCATTGCAGCGAAATGTCAAACTTGTCGCACAAGCTTGTGTTTCGGGTGTGCCGTGTATGAATAGAAGTCTATGGGGTGAAAACTGCAGCGTGACTACAGCTTCACTTGCCTAATTAACCTAGTTAAGTCACTTTAAGCTGAATACTAGTATCTTGAAAAATACAATGCTCAGCATATATAAGTACACCCCTGACAAATCTCTCTTTTAAATTCATATTTTTAATAGGAAGCTATACAATATTATATATGTGAATATACATTAGATTAGTCAGTACTGAAGCCAAATCTGGAGCTTATTTAACAAAATAACTTGCGATAATTGTCGTAAACTAGTACACCTACATTTGAATGTTATAGAAAAATATTAAAAAAGGAGGAGAGAAGAGAGAAGCAAAAATGAAAAAATTTAGTTGAAATTTTGTACATAGTAGTTTTATTTATGCAATGTTTTCCTTGAATTTAATTGTATATCTTTCAATTTCTAAACATGTTTGATATTTAGAAATATTATTTTACATAATAATATTATATAAAATATTATTAATATTTTATTAATATTATTATGTTTTATATAATAATATTAAGGATTATTTTAATATATATTTCTGTTTACGAAATCTGTTAAAAATATGTTAAATCCTCCAAAATACATTGCCTATATTTACCGAGAAATAGAAAAAAAAATTTAATTTTAAAATGGAGTGTACTCAATTATGCTGAGCACTGTACTGTAACTAGTATAATATTATTTACTGTCATCATGGCAAAGATAAAAGAAATCAGTTATTGCAAATGAGTTGTTCAAACTATTATGTTTAGAAATATGTAGAAAGAAATCTTCTTTTAGTTTAACAAATGTCGGGGAAAAAATATTAACTGATTACGTCTTATTATACTTAAATTTAAAAAAAAAAAATTCTTCCTTCTACAGTGACATGTATTCAGTTACATTCATTCTTATTTGTATTGCACTTTTCATGATCATTTCAAAGCAGCTTTACAGAAAAAAGCTTGTTTTGACATTCCATCTCATGAAGGTTACCGCCAAAAGAGAGGGATTAACCTGTCAATCACAAGAGGAAACTACTAATTTCCCATAGAATCTACAATAAAAACATATATATATATATATATATATATATATATATATATATATATATATATATATATATATATATATATATATATATATATATATATATATATATATATATATATATATATACACACACACACAATTGCAATCAAAATGATTTGCCCCCTTTGATTTTTTTTTTCTTTTTTTAAATTTCCCAAATGATGTTTAACAGGACAAGAAAATTTTTACCGTATGTCTAATAATATTTTTTCTTCTGGAGAAAGTCTTATTTGTTTTATTTCGGCTAGAATAAAAGCAGTTTTTAATTTTTAAAAAACTGTTTTAAGGTCAGTATTATTAGCCTCTTTAAGCTATATTGTTTTTCGATAGTCTACAGAACAAACTATCATTATACAATAACTTGCCTATTTAACCTAATTAACTTAGTTAAGCCTTTAAATGTCACTTAAAGCCAGTGGTCACCAAACTTCTTCCTTGATGGCCAGTGTACTGCAGATTACAAATATATATATATATATATAGCATTTCTTTTTGCTTTCAAAAATGCATCAGATTGCACAAGCAATGTAAATGAGATTTGCATTTATTTTTATTTGCAAGACAGGTCCCACTGCACTCTATATCATCTTTCCATCAATTTCAGATTGAAGAAATCCATTCTTGTTCTCTCTGAACCATCCTATTGCAATCAGAAATCTTATTACAGGAGTTAAATACCTTGTAAATGTAAATGTAATTGTAACTTTGCAAGATACGTAAGGCTCAATAACATGTCTCCATCAATTTCTGTTGGGTATAATGTTCTGTATATACCCTCAGAAATCAGGTTACAAGAGCAAGAAATGCATTTTTATATTGATTTTAAGTGCAGCATTTGCTTGGCTAACACTTAATAACATTGTTAGCCATATATTCTCTTGTAATATAATATTTTAGCTAAACCATGACCTATATTCACTTTTTTTTCAGCATGACTGATGTTGAGCCAGAAGAAAGTATAGGCTGCTTTTTTTTGAGATGTGAACTCCAACGTATTTAATCTCACTAATGGATAAAGGATTACTGCGTTGCCAAATATGCACATTCGGGTGAAGCTTTCAAAAAAGACAAATTTTGTACATTAACACACAGCGCTGCTTAACAACAGTATTTATTCTCACAATATAAAGGGATGTTAAAAGCTCTGTGCAGCTTTAATCTGATAATAAATAGCAAGACTCTGAGTTCAAGAGGATCAGGCGAGTGTAGATGGGCTGTGCGTGCTACCTTTGTCACGCGTACGGCGGTTCTCCTCGCATAAAAACAGATGTGTTGATATTTTAATAGAGTGTGTGCACTAATGGACTCAGCGTGTGTAAAATATCTCCTAATTACAGACTGATAAACAAAATTAATGGCAGATTTGGATTTTTCCAAATCTGTCCCTATTTTCACATTTCTTAATTATGCATGCTAATATTTAATGCTGGGCATATTCAGCATCTATGATACTGACAGTGCTTTTGCTTGCAAGGATAAGGTCTAGTAAACTGATGAATATTGTGGAGATTTTCTTAGGGATTGTAAGTGTGTGAGCTTTAGGAAAAACAGGATTAACAATGTTTCTGATTTCATTTTCGGCATCAATGTCACTTTTTGTGAATCAACAGTTTGTTAAAAAGAAAATCTTGCTGATTTTCAACTAACTTTTTGTTATTGCAGTGCCTGTAGTATATTTAAAATACGCCAACATCAGCAAAAATATGTTAAAAATGTCATTGTTATATAATTTTAAATACTTTAGAAAGTGTAAGAGCTTTTGCTAAAACTACAGCTCAAACACCTTCATTTTTCATTTTCCATATATTGACATTCAAATGTTTTTTTATCTTTTGTATTTTTACAGCATGAACAGTATTCCACAATTAATATTATTTACATATATATTATTCATATATTATTATTATTTAATAGTATATACTAACTTATAAAGGTCTTGTTGCCTATCCAGGTTTTAGGAACAACAAATAATAACTTGACTTCTAGTTGATCATTTGGTATCAGAATTGGCTTTTATGAAAGGCCTCTAGATTACGCTTATTTTAGTAAAATCTAATATGATCATGCCTTGATTTTTATTCAATTAATTAGGACAGTATGGTCTGACTTTGCTTAGACAAAAGTCTTGTCACTTAACAGAACTAATGTCCAGTATAGAATATAAAGTCATGCTGCAGTGGAAGCAGAATGACTCAAATCACTTATTAATAAAGTCATCTGGAATGGCAAAGAAAGCATTCCTGCAGGATTCCCAGAGTTCATCAAGATTCTTTGGATTCATCTTCAATGCCTCCTCCATCTTAGCCCAGACATGTTCAATAATGTTCATGTCTGATGACTGTGCTGGCCATTCCTGGAGCACCTTGACCTTCATTGCTTTCAGGAACTTTGATGTGGAGGCTGAAGTATGATCAGCATTTTCCTGCTGAAGAATTTGCCCTCTCCTATAGTTTGTAATTTAATGGGCAGCACAAATGTCTTGATACCGCAGGCTGTTGATGTTGCCATCCACTCTGCAGATCTCTCGTACGCCCCCATACTGAATGTTACCCCAAACCATGATCTTTCCTTCACCACACTTGACTGATTTCTGTGAGAATCTTGGGTCCATGTGGGTTCCAATTGGTGTTTTGTTGTATTTGTGATAATTCATCAGAAAAATCTATTTCTGCCACTGCCACTTTTCCAAGTGATCAACTAGAAATCAAGTTATTATCAGTTGCTTTTACAACTGGAGTTGACGACAAGACTTTTGTCAAGTCATTTATATTCATTTAAATTAATTATTTTTTTTTATTAATTTTTTAAAAAACTTTTCTTTACTTGTTGTTTTTTTTAATTAATTAATTTATTTTTATTATAAATAATTTTTTATTATTATTTATTTTCCCCTATGGGAAGTTAGAGGTTGCTTAGTGAGGGAAGTGTTTTTTTTAGAGTAGTGTTAGTAACCGTATTTAACCATAGTTTATTAATTTAATGTGTTAATTTGCTGACTTGATGTTCAATGCAGAAAGAACAATACATTTTTACTGCCTTTTTTATTAATCTATCATCCTCTTGCTATAATTAATAACATATTAAATTACAAAAATACCCTTCATGTGATTTCTCATACATTGCCATATACTGTAACTGTCTTCATATTCCTCCAATCTAGATAACTGGCTGTTTGTTTCTAAGCAGTGTTGAAGCTTACCAGTCTGAACGAGCGAAGAACAGACAGACCCTCCACATTGGAAAGACCCAACTCCATCAGACTCAAACAAACAATAATTCCATCAAAGATGTTCCAGCCTTGCTGAAAGTAATAATATGGATCCAGAGCAAAGATCTTCAGCACCATCTCCGCCGTGAAGATTCCAGTGAACACCTGGTAAGCAAGAATAAAAGATTTACATTGAAATTAAACACATAATATTTGACATGTTACAACAAATCAATAAGATCATGCACTACAAACTACATCACAGCTTGCTTTTCAACCTTAAATGCCTCCTTTGCACAATATAGCACAGTATTATTTAAATGACTAGCCTGTCTTAGGTTATGTATACTATATAGTAGTGTTTCCCAACCCTGTTCTTGAAGGCACACCAACAGTACACATTTTCAATCTCTTCCTAATCAAACTCACCTGAATCAACAGTTCGGAACATGAAAAGAGACTCCAAAACCTGAAGTTAATGGCTTAGATAAGGGAATCGTCCAAAATACGTACTTTTGGTGTGCCACCAGGAACAGGGTTGGGAAACACTGCTATATAGTATATGTAGTTACATTACTGCTTCAGCAAGTTAGCCATGTATACTCTAGGTTTAAGAACTGCTGTTATGCCTATTGTTGTGTTCATATTTATGTTTATCTATGTAGCACTGTAGTCCTTCGAGACGCAACTTATTTTGTTCAACTGTATGTAAAGGCATGACAATAAAGGCCTGATCACACCACGCACGATAACTATAAATATAAACATTACAATAAATAGATTTGCATCCACTTTTACAAATGATAATAGTCTGTTTATTTTTAGTTTTGTTTATGATTTTTTGCAATACCCTCTTGTAACGAGCAGATGTCTTGAGTGTGCTACTACTGCATCTGACCAGTGAATTCAGCTCGTGTAATAAATCTAATCAAGTGAATTTAGCAATCACAGTAACTTTAGTAGAATTAAAACAACTTCAGTTACTTTCCCTAGAATTATCAAAGGAGGGAACAAAATCTAGACCAGGGGTGTCGAACTCATTTTTGCTCAGGGGCCACAAAGAGGAAAATCTATTCCCAAGCAGGCTGGACCAGTAAAATCATGGTATATAAAACTTAAAAACTTCAGATTGTTTTCTTTGTTTTAATATGATCAACATAAAGCTGGAGTGTGAGGACAACACAATCTCACAGAAATTCAGAACTTTTTGATTTAGTTGCTTATTCATATGGATTCATACAATCGATTTGCTTGTCCACCAATGATAGTTGGGTTTAGGTGTGTGGGTACCACGCCTCCTTTTTTTATATCGTACATTTTTGTACGACTGAACTTGTACGAAGTAGCCACAAAACTGACAAAATGTGAAAGTTACATTTCCTTGTGAGAACCCCTCAGTGTGGTATGGCAGGGCATAGATGATGTGGTCTTTCTCTCTGAGAAGGCTGTCAAACTGATGCTGAATCAGGATTTTTTATTGCAGGGGTTCTTAACCTTTTTCACTTTGGGCCCACTTCTTTCTCTGATTAAGTTTTTGTAGGCTCACCTGAAAAATATGTTTTCTCAAAAATATTTATATGAAATACTCATTTAAACCTTTATTTATTATAAATATATGTATTATATATGTACAAATGTATTATATATATCTATAATACATTTGCTGTGCCTTCTAATATTTTCTATTATCAGCATTTTATTAAAAAAATATATAATTTTATTTAAATTTAGTTACATATCAAATTAAAACTGTATTATATATATATATATATATATATATATATATATATATATATATATATATATATATATATATATATATATACATATATATATATATATTAGGGATGTAAATACAGTCATACCGCAATATTAATTTTTTTCAATGTTACCGTAGTCGCATGACTCTGTAAAACTATAGGTCTTCTGAGAAACTTTGCTCAGGCAAATGAAGCGAACAGGAGGTAGCAGAAACTACAATTCCCATCAGCCCAGGCTTGGCCATCATCCCTTGCGGTCTGTTGTCGCTACAGATCCAGTAATGCGGAAATGGAGTGTGCTGCTAGAAGCGGGGATCAAAAAGAGCTGGAAGCTGGAAGCGGGTGCTGTCGCCGAGCGCGTACTGAATAGCGGTGTTGTCGCGCGAGTTTTTATCAGCTGTGTTGTCGCGCGCGTACTGTAAAGCGGGACGGAGGGTGTATCGCGTCGCGGGGGCACTTTTGATCATTTTGGAAGGGAACTTTATCCAAGACTAAAAAAGGCATGTGCACTGCACAGGTTGAGCCCTGTGTGTGCACGTGCCTGTAAGTTGGGGAACACGACTAATAACAGTCATGGGGACTGCAGAAACACAGCACACTGTTCAGATTGATGCAGACATGAGATCTCTATCTCACTCAACGTTACCCACTGCTGTCAACCTGGGCCAAGTCATATCTCTCTTGTCCCAGAATCCTCAGTCCCAAATGAGAGGGTTTTTTTCTGTTGCAGGGGACATTGTAAATACCCAGAGATACCAGCTTTTACAAGATTATATTTATATGATAATTTTCCTTTAAACCCATCTCTATCTAAGTGAGTGATTAAATGTTGAATGTGATGAGTTTTCAACAATACTAAATTGAAACTTTATTTTTTTACATGGTTTAATATTTTTTTGTTATTAAAATTGAAGTTCCTGTTTCAAAGCTTACAGATAGATGACTAATTTGTATGTCATTGACACTTTTGGCACTTTTTTGGAGTATTTTCATAAGTTTTGTTTTTCCTGTAAATGATGTAATAAATACCGTACCGTGACATTCATACCGAGGTATTACCGTACCGTAAAATTATTATACTGTTACATCCCTAATATATATATATATATATATATATATATATATATATATATATATATATATATATATATATATATATATATATATATATATATATAATTATTATTATTATTATTAACTTTTTATTTATTTATTTTTTTTATTTTTTCTTCAAACATACAGATACAAAAAGAACCACAGGTCAACAGGGAGATTGCAAAAGAGCAGCTTTTGCTTTAAGCTGTACTGACTGAACATCTACTATTCAAAAATATACAAACAAATGTAAAATACAGTAAAACACCCTAAATCTGTTAAAACCCATCGGTCTGATGGCGGTTGAGTTTGCAGCTGGATATTATTGGGAGTGAACGTGAACGGCTCCGCTAGAGCGCGTCTGAAGCTCATATGCAAGTTTATTTTACATTCTATGGCAGAAACACCATTGAGCTTCGCTAGATCCTATATGGGCGCGTGTCTGTTATAAATCACTCACAGGACATTCATTTGGACAACTATGCAGATATATTACCTAGTTCACACAATAATACACAGAGAGACTTTCATTTCACGCAGAGTTTGTGAATGAACTGACTTACGTGTTGCCTACTAGTTGCAGATGCGATCATGAGGCTGTTTTTTGCGCCGAGTTTGAAGTAATCAAACTAGTGGGTCGCGATTCACCGGTTGAGAATCCCTGCTTTATCAGATAAAATAACTGTTTAAAGATAATTCAACTGAAACTGCAGCTTCTTTTATTGAAAAATTGCACCTCGTTTTTATACTTTACAGAATCCTCACGCGGGCCGGATTAAACCTGTTCGCGGGCCTGATCATTTGACATCCCTGATCTAGACCTAGATACTTGAGGGACTTATTTTTAAGTTCCTAGCCTTTTAAGTTTGCTAGCCTGGCTTGCATAAATCACATTTATTTGTATAATTTTTTTCCATGGTATTAACGATTGTTTCAAAGACAAATCATTTGGAAGCATTTAAAAAAGACAAGTTTCCAAGACAAGTCATTATCTTCTGATGTATGACAATCTATGAAAACATCAAAAATTAAGCAGTGAGCTTCTCCACAATGTGGTCTGTAGATTTAAATTGTGCGAGCCCTTTATAATGGAAGTTGGGAGAAAAACTTTCTGAAAATAATTTCAACAATGTCGTTTCTCTACTTATTTATCATTATGGCTGTGGTCTGAACTGTCGTTGTTTTACATTCGGAATTTATCGTTATCATGCTTTGTGTGAACGGCCCCTTAAAGCTCAACTTGACTTAATAATTGTACAGATGTAAAATGTGTAGAGTAGCAATAAGAGAAGTAACCCACCAGGTTTCCAATACTCAGCATGCTGTTGAATTCGTCAGTCATAGGATAGTGCTCGAGGGCCATGAATAACGTGTTGAGAACTATGCAGATGGTAATGGCGAGGTCCAGGAACGGGTCCATCACCATGACTTTAAGCCCTTCCTTCACTCTCAGCCAGGCAGGAGAACACGTCCAAATCAGATACTTCTGTGCAAACTCATACCAGCATGGAGGACACTTCTGACGGGCCTCTTCCAGTTCTAAGAGGAGAAATAAGGGGAAAAATTAAGGTGAGCTGATGTTTGATACTTTCAGCCTTTGGGATACAGTCATGGCGAGCAACATTGCATGTCCTTAGAAGTAGGGATGCACTGATACACTCCAATTTTTTGCTGCAAAGTACTAATTTAAAATGAACTACAAAATATCTTGCTATTTTTGGGGACAACTTAATTGTTTCATGTTCTATGCACTCAAATTTGTAAAAAAAATTTTTTAATTTTACAGTGTATGATATTTTTTACCCTCACGATACTCTAGATAACTCTAGATATTTGTAGACGTGAAATAACATTATTTAACTTAAATAACATAAACTAAATTAATTGACCATTATTTTAAAGTATTAGTAAGTTTTAGGAACAATAAATAATGACTTGACTTCTAGTTGATCATTTGGTATCAGAAGTGGCTTATATGAAAGGCAAAGGCTTCTAGATTACGCTTATTTTAACTAAATAAAATATGATCATGACTTAATTTTGACTTAATTTTTGCCTTTTGTTTTTGTAATCATGCAGAAAAAAAAATATATATATAGATATATGTATATATATATATATATATATATATATATATATATATATATATATATATATATATATATATATATGTATGTATGTATGTATGTATGTATGTATGTATGTATATATATATATATATATATATATATGTGTATATATATGTGTATATATGTGTATGTATGTATGTATATATATATATGTATATGTATATATATATATATATATATTTTTTTTTTTTTTTCCTGCATGATTACAAAAACAAAAGGCAAATGCATACAGTGAATAAATGAATTTGTTTTAACGTCAGAAAAGTTTCACTGATCTCTGAACTTTATTAGCTAAATATTTTTTGTAATGGCCGACTTTCTTTTTTTATAAATCAAATCTACCACCTAACAAAAGATAAATGCAGCAGCCAAGTTACTGAACATTAACGAAAATACCTGAAAATTAATAAAACAGTGATGGCAGCAAATATGTGCAGTGATTTAACAAATGTGTCAATATTGCATAATTTATTGGCTTAAAAATATCTGCCTAATTTTTATTCCAGCGATATGCATGCCAATATATTGTGCATCTATTATTACAAGATACAAGAAAAAAGTGTCAAAGGAACAAAAAGTGGTATCAAACTAATTTGAAGTGCTTTCATTGTGAACAGTTTTGCATATTCAGATGTGAGTGGCTAAATACAGTTGAAGTCTAAATTATTAGCCCTCCTGTGAATTTTTTTTTTTCACCTTTTTTTAAATATTTTCCAAATGATGTTTAACAGAGCAAGGAAATGTTCACAGTATGTCTGATAATATTTTTTCTTCTAGAGAAAGTCTTATTTATTTTATTTTGGCTAGAATAAAAGCAGTTCTTAATTTTGTAAGGTCAATATTATTAGCCCTCTTAAGCTATATATATATTTTTTTTGATAGTCTACAGAACAAACCATCGTTATACAATAACTTGCCTAATCACCCTAACCTGCCTAGTTAACCTAGTTAAGCCTTTAAATGTTACTTTAAGCTGTATAGAAGTGTCTTGAAAAATATCTAGTCAAATATTTTTTACTGTCATCATGGCATAGATACAATAAATCAGTTATTATAAATGAGTAATTAAAACTATTATGTTTAGAAATGTGTTGAAGAAATCTTATTTTCATTTAAAAGAAATTGGGGAAAATATACAGGGGGGCTAATAATCAATAATTCAAGAGGGCTAATGATTCTGACTTCAACTGTACATTGTTTTTTAGCACTATACTCTTTAAAATGTGTATATTTTTGTAATTGTAGTGTGTCGCACCATCCATGGCGTCACTGAAGAAGCTGACAGAGCTCAGTCCTCTCTTCCTGCGAGGAGGCAGGACTTCCTCCTGGACATCCACAGTCAGCTTGACTTGTTCATTCTGACACTCTGGCTCCTGTCAATCAAAGTTGACATCAAAACATCAAAACCTAGTACGTGCTCACTGTTTCTAGTTATTTATTGAACAAATGTCACACTTATTTTACTTAAGGGGATAGTTAAATTTCACATTTCGCTTGTTCCAAAACTATTTGAGTTTCTTTCTTCTGTTGAACACAAAATAAGTTATTTTAAAGAATGGTATTGGATGCCCCCTCCCCCCTGACTTTTTCCTACTATGGAAGTCAATATGGGTGTCATTAGCCAGCATTTTTCAAAATATCTTCTTTTTTGTGTGACAGAAGAAAGAAACCCAGTTTCCCCAGTTTTAAAATCACACGAGGGAGAATAAATGGTAATTTTCAGTTTTGAGTGAACTATCCATTTAATATGTAATATATGTTTTTGTCTATATTGCACACATTTATATTTCACTAATATTTAATGTTTGGAAACATGGAATATTTTATATAGATTTATTGTCAAAATTCAGATTTTTTTCTGAATATGCATGTGTCAAAATGTTAATATTTGTTTAATTATGTCTGATAGTATTCACACATTTTAAATGAAAAAACTGTCATTAAGAGATTTTAGGGACAATATAATAATTGGTCAAAATAACAAACATTTTAAAAAGTCAGAATTATTTCACAAAGTATTGCTTAATACTTCTGAAGTAAAAACATTGGTATTGTCTAAAAATTAATATTAACATGAACGTTTTGTGCTCTAAATTACAGTGTTTAGTTATTAATACTTTAACATATCTCTAACTTTGTCCATGCATTATTTTATTGTAAATATTTTATTTTAATATATATATTAATTATGTTTATTTTATTTTATTATATTATTATTGCATATTTGTGACCCTGGACCAAAAAATCTAACTCTTAAGTTTCACAGGTAAAGTTTTGACAGTAACCAACAATACATTGTATGAGTTAGAATGTTCCATGTTTCTTTATTGCCAAAAATCATTGAAATATTAATAAATATTATGTGCCATGAAGATATTTTTGTAAATTACCTTACATATATCAAAACACAATTTTTGATTAGTAATATGCATTGCTGAAAACTTCATTTGGACAACTCTAAAGCTGAGTTTTCCAGCCTGATCTAACGAGAAAACGTAACTATTTTATGTTTTGTCAGTTTAGAGGCGAATTCATCGATTTCGAGTTCAGTTGTACGGATATGTATGATTTTTAGAAAGGAGTTGTGACACCAAACCCCACCTCTAAACCCAACCTTTATTGGAGGATGAGAAAATCTAACTAAATTGTACGAATGAGCTTGTACAAGTTTATACAAATAGAGTGGAGGAAGGATGACGTCAATTTGTATGCAAAAACCCAGAAGCGAGTTAGCATTTTAGCACTTCCGGTTCCCTCGTCCCAAAGTCAAAGGGTTTTTTAAATGGGGTTTCAGTAAAATCGCTTAAATAAGGTTCGTGGCAAACACAAACTCAAGATACTTTCACGTTTTGTTCTACGACATAAAACACATCAGTTACAGCACACTCTTGAATTTTTAAATCGGTTATGCTTCTTTAAAAAGACGGTTCAAGTTGCTAAATGGGACTACAGGCGGTGTCGGGGACATTATACATGCATTGGGCATTTGGATTTGTCTGTTTTTTAGGTATTTTCATGAATATTATTTTATAGTTTGTAGTATTTTTCTAATTGGGAATTCAGATTGTGTGTAGATAATTCCTTCACTTGTAAAGGCTGTCGAGACACATTCATTTGTTGATCTTTTATTTTAATAAACAATATTATGAAGATACTGCTCACCAGTGCACCTTCTCTGTCCTGCTCTCATAACTGTCATTTTAACGTGATCAAGTGATTTTTCGTCTTTTTTTCTTCATCTGAACACATTTAACTCTCCCATAACTGCAATATTTACACTCCTCCATAAAATGTATAGCAGATGTGACTGTACGGGCTGCTTTTCACTGCACTTCCTGATGAAAAAGGAACATTGATTGTTGTTCTGTGTCCATGATGATGGAACTTGCAGGCATTTGATAGACTTGTTCCTCCTCACGCCTCATTTCTGTCGTCTGTTAAGGTAAGCAGGCTGTGTGCACGCAGCGATACACTTATTTAAATATGTCTGATAAAAATACTATATAGGCAGATTTATACACGCAGTTTTAAAACTTTTAGAACAACCGTAAAGCAAAACAGATGTATTTCCTACATGAAAATGATCCAAAAGGCACATAGATCTATGTGTTTTTTGCGTATTTATTTGTTTATAATACATACTGTGGATTATAATATAATAAACAGAGAAATTAACTCTTTGTGATGGACATTATTTCTAAAAATAAGCTTGATAAGTTGTTTGTAGCAGGGTGGTGCTGACGTCACAGACGAGCGCCCCGAGCACTGTAGTCCATTTATACCCTGATGTTAGCTTTTCAATTCTTACGTTTGCATTTAAGATCCAAAAGTGCTCAAAGTTGTATTTTCATGTGAGGATTATCCGGCTGGACAAAACAAGTAAGTGTAATGAACAGTGTTTGAACACAGAGCGTATTATTTGCAATCTTCGAAAGACTTCGATTTTCATGAGGGAACCAGTTTTATGCTAGCAGCCGATTAGCCTACAAAATGACGTCATAGTTCCTCCACTCTATTAGCCACTAAATCAAAGTTATTCCCAAGCAACAAAACAAATCTTTAAACTGAAAGATATTATTTGTTATTATTTTAATCCCAAGAACAAAAATTAAGAATATATATATATATATATATATATATATATATATATATATATATATATATATATATATATATACACACATGTATAACTTTTTTATATTATATGCTAAATTCTTTATCCACAAACAAAAATTTCTTAAATCCTCTCCCTCGTTTGCCCATTTTTTAATCGAAATTGATTGCATGCTTAAAGCTTTACGTCTTTCTAACAACAAGAAATTCTGCAAGTTAATAGAAACTTATGAAAATATCATGCTTCCAGTATGTTAGTAATTAATGCTTTCTGTATTTTTAATTTAATTTAATTTTGTACTTCCCCCTTCCTCATTTTGTTCTCTTTTTTTATTTTCTTTCTATTACACCTTTCTTTTTACTTATTGTTCTTATTACTTTGTAATTGTATATTCTTGTATTTCAGTCTTCTACAGATTACTTCCTGATTTATATTGTAAATTTCTCCTTTTCTAAATAAAAGTTTGTTTGAAAAAAATATAATTTTTTTTTTTTTAAATAAATAAATCAAAGTTATGAATTGCCGTGAGATCGGGATTTTTCTCAATTTGTAGGTTTTTTTGAACCCTCAGACTCCAAATATTAAATTGCTGTATCTCAGCCAATCATAACAAAATCTGCACCAAAGGAAAACTTATTCATTCAGATTTTACTTAATAAATAAATCTCAATTTTCAAAAGTAATGATTTTTATGACTGGTTTTGTGGTCCAAGTTCACATATATTTTTACTACATTTTTGTTAAAATTGTAGCAATGTGTTCATTTTGTGACAGAAGACTTGCTTTGATTTTCTCTACACTGTAAAAAAAATCCGTAAATGAGCAGTTTTTTGTATTTTGTGATTCATACTCTTATTTTCCCTCATTAATTTATGCTTTTTAATTGCATTTTAGGAGCTTTCTCCCAACAACTTTGAACCTTAAAAAGTTAGAAAAAGTTACTTTTATGAATTTTTAATAGTTCAAAGTGTTATTGTCTGGGATTTTGTTTTATATATTATGGGACTAAAAACTTTACAGTACATTTCTTTTGTTATTTTACAGACTTATTTCTCTCTATATTATTTGTTATACATTACATTATTACAAACTACTATAATGTCAATAAAAGTCCCTTTGTTTAACTGTAGAGGTGTATTTTCAACATTAAAAGTCGACAAAACAGTGATCAATATCCCATAATGCAATTCACAACCGTAAATGAACAGAAAAACAAAAACCGTTAATCAACAGATGTCGTGTACTTTAGAGCTGTTTTTGGGCTTCCAGAAACATGAGGGTGCTATAAATAATTTCAATTAATCATCCCTCCTAATAAGTCCGAGACTCACCGTTCCCTCTTTGACCTTCTCCATGCTGAACTTGGGGCCAGTGGTGGGTGTGTGCAGGCCGATGCCAGTGATGCCGTTCTGCTCCAGAGAAATGTTGAGTCTGCCGTTGGCGAGTGTTGGCGTGAACACCTGAGACGAGTGACTCCTGATGCTGCCCGTGCGGTGTTTATGCCACGGCGTTGCCATGGATCCCGCTCGGCTCCGCCCATAATCAGCAACACTGTGCTCGTCATCTGCAAAGTCGGCCTCGGAACTATTGCGCGGCCTGAAGGTGAAGATGCTCATTTGGCTTCCCCGACGAGTGCTCAGAGGATGAGAGGAGAGTGTGGCCAAGAGAGGGTGAGCTGGCTACAAAACAGCACATGCAAGACATTAGAGAAGTGTTTCCCAACCCTGTTCCTATTGGCACAGCAACAGTACATATTTTAGTGTCTCCCTTATCTGACCCATTCATTTCTGGGTTTGGAGTCTCTTCTAATATTCTGATGAGTTGATTCAGGTCAGTTTGATTAGGGAGAGGTTGAAATTGTGCACGGTGGCTCAGTGGTTAGCACCGTCGCCTCTTAGCAAGAAGCTCAGTGGTTCGAGTCCCAGCTGGGTAAGTTAGCATTTCTGTGTGGAGTTTGCATGTTCTCCCCATGTTGCTGTGGGTTTCCTCAGGGTGCTCTGGTTTCCCTCACAATCCAAAGACATGTGGTATAGGTGAATTGGGTAAACAAAATTGGTCATTGAATGTGTGTGAATGTAAGAGTGTATGGATATTTCTTAGTACTCGGTTGCTGCTGGAAGGGCATCCGCTGTGTAAAACATATGCTGGAATAGTTGGTGGTTCATTGCACTCTGGCGACCCTTGATACATAAGGGACTAATACGAACTGTTAGTGTGCCTTCAGGAACAGGGTTGGGAAACATGCAACCCAGGCTCATTGTGGAAACGTAGCTCCACGGATGTTTCTGCGGACCACAAGATACGTCCCGGGAGGTACGTATTCGAGCGTTTTTTGTTTTTGCGGATCCGTGAGAGGCCGCTGTGCATGCTTTTTCGCGTCTCGGGCGCCTTTCGGGAGCGCGCTGTTCGCACCCGCACTGTTCTCGCACGAAAAGCTAACCCTAAACCCGAGCGACGGTTTGCAAAAGCCATCCAGAAAAAAAAGAAAAAAAGCAAAAGCCCTCGTCTTCGATTTCGACCGCGTTTTCGGATTCCGCCGCGTTCTCGCCCTATTTTTCAAATTCTGTTTTTCGTCTTACCTGATTTCTGGAACCGCTGTTCCCCGGACTCGATCCCAGTCGTCGTCCTCGCGGCCGGCTCCTCCTCCGGGGCCTCCGCTCCGCCGACGCAATGCTGTGAGCTGAGCGGACAAACTGGTTGCATCAGGAAAGACCTCCACTCGAAGAGGAGGAGTGGAGCGGCGCCACACCGCCCCGCAGCGTTCACTCGAAAAAAACTAAATGCATCCGTACGTACCTCCGGCCACTTAAATCGCGGTCTCCAGAAACGTCCACGGGGCTACGTTTCCAGAATGAGCTTGGGTTGGAAACACTGCATTAGGGAAATTCTATATGCACAATATACACAACACTTTAGCTCTTTCTGACTGTTATTGTAATTTAATAACAAGCACCTTTTGTAAAGATTTAGCTTTAAAAGCATTCAGATTTATTTTAACGGATTAAAAGATCAATTTTGCTGGTTAAAAAAGGTCAAATTTCACATCAATTAGGTCTTCACATTAATAAGGTTAACATTAGTAAATGCATTAGTTAATTATTAATGTGTTGCATCTTATTTACGCTCCCATCCCTTGTTGCAAACCTGCTTGAGTTTCTTTCTTCATCCGATTTGAATGTTATCACTCGATTGAATTTGCATTATCAGTGGTTATCAGCTGATAGATATGGGCCAGTAGGGGCTTCTGCGCCTACTGGTATGCTCAGAAGGCTGTTATCATCCATTTACATGGTTAATCAGCTATATGCTGCAACCTGAAGTTAACCTGAATTAGTAATATTATTTATTACATTTCCCATTAATTGTGTTTTTATTAACGTCTACGCCAACGCCAACCCTAAACCCAACCGTCACAGTAATGTAAAAACATATCTGGATCTAGAGTCTTCTCTTTTAGTATAGCTGAATAACCATGTGAATGGATGATAACAGCCTTCTGAGCCTACCAGTAAGCGCAGAAGGCCCCTACTGGCCCATATCTATCAGCTGATAACCACTGATAACGCTTATTCAATCGAGTGATGACATTCGAAGCGGCTGCTTTCTTCTGTTGAACACAAAAGAAGGTATTTTGAAGAATGTCAAAAAACAAGGCGCACATGGACCTCCATATTTTGCTTTTATGGATGGTTATGCCAGACAGCATCTAACATTTAAAATATCTTAACAAACAACAAAAAATCAGTCCAAGACACTCGAAAAATGTGGGTTTTTTTGAGGATTAGCCATGTGAATAAAGGCTTTTTAAGTTGTCTACATTTTTCGAGTGCCTTGGTCTGATTTTCTTTGTTGTTTGCTTTGATGAATCCTACCCCAAAGAGCACCAACAAAATATTTGAGCCACCCCTGGGTGCTTTTTGGTTGTTTTGGATTTAAAATATCTTATTTTGTGTTCAATAGAGAACAATTAAACTTCTCAAGGTTTGGAACCCCTTGTGTGTAAAGTACCAGTGAGTAAATCCCTTTAACTGAAATTGTCTTGCAATTACCGAGCAAGACTGCTTTCTCAATATAATATACACCATGTTAACATTGCATTGACTAATTGATTGAAGTTTAATTAAAAAACAAAATGTATAGGTAAATGTAAAAATGAGGAAAAACAAAGAGTAAATATAAATAAAACTGTTTGTAAATACTTACTTTTTCATCAAGCGGTTCAAACTTTGGCAAAAAGCTGTCCTCAATCTCCTCTGAGAGCGTTCTGTGGGATCTCGTTCTGGTTCTGCATTTTATCGAGTCTTTTCGGGAGAAAGGAGATGGACAAAAATCTGCTGCCAGAGCCATCTCGGCCTCTTTTCTGCGCTGTTTTGCTAAAGCCTAATATAAAAGTGAACAGAAAAAAAGCATCAGATCAAACATCCAGTGTAACATGCCAATACAATCATATTTTAAACAGTTCTCAGGTTTTATAATTTTTTTTTTTTTTGTCCTATAAAATTGTCAAGCTGTTAAAAATACTGTGATGAATGTGCACATACTCTAATCTTCACAATGTATTCATTCATTCATTTTCTTTTAAGCTTAGTCCTTTTATTAAACAGGGGTTGCCACAGCGGAATGAACCGCTAACTTATCCAGCATATGTTTTACGCAGTGGATGCACTTCCAGCTGCAACCTAGCACAGAGAAATATCCATACACTCTTGCATTTACATACATAGACTATGGCCAAATTAGCTTATTCAATTTACTGTACCTGTTGCACATGTCTTTGGACTTGTAGGGGAAAACAGAACACCCGGAGGAAACCCACACCAACAAGGGGAGAACATGCAAACTCCACTCAGAACTGACCTGGGGCTCGAACCAGCGAGCTTCTTGCTGTGAGGCGCCACTATGTCGCCACAATGTATTCAAAATCTGTATAATGTTTTTCCATCTCAGGTCTGTTCGGACTTGCTTGAGAGAACTAAATTTTTTTAATCATAACTTTTTGTTGTGACCAGCTCTCAATAAGTAAATGTAAAAATGTAAAAAAAAAAGTCAGTTAAAGATTTTTAGTGCATTCACCGGTATTTTATGATAAGTAGGCGGTTCATTCCGCTGTGGCGACCCCGGATTAATAAAGGGACTAAGCCGACAAGAAAATGAAATATACAGGGGGGCTAATATTCAGGAGGGCTAATAATTCTGTCTTTAGCTGTATGTTGATATTTAATTTACCCTCTGCTCCTTGCGCAGATGCTCCATGGCCAGCTGAAACTCTCTCTCTTTGGCCCAGGCTTCAGCGATGGTGGCCTGGTTCTGCTCCTCGTACGCCATAGCCACCACAGCCAGGATCAAGTTTACCAGGTAAAATGAACCCAGAAAAATCACCAACACAAAGAAGATCATGTAGGTCTTCCCCGCCGACCGCAGAGTCTGCCATGGGGAGGAAGATGACCAGAAGCAAGGTTTGTAATGGGGCAGTTCACCCAAACCTTTACAAATTTTTCATCATTAATTCACCTTTTTTACTTTATTTCTGTTGAACACAGTAGAAGTTGTTTTGAAAAATGCTGGAAACCTGTAACCATCGACGTCCATGGTGTTTGTTGTTCCTACTTTAGGAGTCAATGGTTACAGGTTTTAAACATTTTTCTAAATATTGGTAAAACTTTATAATATTACACACTATTTGTCATTTATTAAAGAGTTAGTTCACCCAAAAATAAAAATGTTCTTAGTTGTTATTTGTTTAAAACCTGTTTGAGTTTCATTCTTATGCTGAACACCGTAGAAGTTATTTTGAAAAATGTTGGAAACCTGTAACCATTGACTTTTATAGTGTCTGTTGTTCCTAATATAGGAATCAATGGTTACAGGTTCTAAACATTTTTCTAAATAATGATAACTCTTTGTAATATTTATTAAAGGGTTAGTTCACTCAAAAATCTAAATTCTGTCTAAATTTGCTCAGCCTTCACTTGTTGAAAACCTGTTTGTGTTTCTTTCTACTGTTGATAACAAAAGAAAATATTTTAAAGAAAGCTGGAAACCTGTAACCCTTGACTTCTATAGTATGTGTTGTTCCTACTATAGGAGTCAATGGTTACAGGTTTCCAGCTTTCTTCAAAACATTGATAGCACTTTATAATAACTGTACACTGAGTCATTTATTTAAGGGTTAGTTCACCCAAATATGAATATTCTGTCATCGTTTATTCAGTCTTTGCTTGTTTAAAACCTGTTTGAGTTACTTTTTTCTGTTGAACACAATAGAAGTTATTTTGAAAAATTATGCAAACCTGTAACCATTGATTTCCATAATGTCTGTTATTCCTACTGTGGGAGTCAATTTTTACAGATTTCAAACATTTTTCAAACTATCCTTAAAATATCTGTAACATCTTATAACTAAATTATTTAATCAAGGGATAGTTCACTCCAAAAATTTTCTTAGCTGTCAATTGTTTAAAACCTGTTTGAGTTCCTTTCTTATGTTGAACACAGTAGAAGTTATTTTAAACAATACTGGAAACCTGTATCCATCGACGTCCATGGTGTTTGTTGTTCCTACTTTAGGAGTCAATGGTTACAGGTTTTAAAAAAATTTCTCAATATTTATAACACTTCATAAATATTACACACTATTTATCATTTATTAAAGGGTTAGTTCTCCCAAAAACAAAATGTTCTCAGCTGTCAATTGTTTAAAACCTGTTTGAGTTCCATTCCTATGTTGAACACAGTAGAAGTTATTTTGAAAAATGTTGGAAACCTGTAACCATTGACTTTCATAGTGTCTGTTGTTCCTAATATAGGAATCAATGGTTACAGGTTCTAAACATGTTTCTAAATATTGATTTGTAATGTTTATTAAAGGGTTTGTTCACTCAAAAATCTAAATTCTGTCCAAATTTGCTCAGCCTTCACTTGTTGAAAACCTTTTTGACTTTCTTTCTACTGTTGATAACCAAAGAAGATATTTTGAAGAAAGATGGAAACCTGTAACCATTGACTTCTATAGTATTTGTTGTTCCTACTATAGGAGTCAATGGTTACAGGTTTCCAGCTTTCTTCAAAACATTGGTAGCACTTTATAATAACTGTACACTGAGTCATTTATTAAAGGGTTAGTTCATCCGAATATGAATATTCTGTCATCGTTTATTCAGCCTTCGCTTGTTTAAAACCTGTTTGAGTTACTTTTTTCTGTTGAACACAATAGAAGTTATTTTGAAAAATGTTGACTTCCATAGTGTCAGTTGTTTCTATAGGAGTCAATGGTTGTAAGTTTTAAACATTATTCAAACTATCTTCAAAATGTTGGTAACACCTTATAATAATAAAATTATTTATTAAAGGGATAGTTCACCCCAAAAGGAAAATTCTGTGATCATTTATTCAGCCTTCACTTGTTTAAAATCTTTTTGACTTTTTGTTACTTTTTGAAAACTTTTTGAAAAGTTTTGTTAATCTGTGACCATTGACTTACATAATATTGGTCTTTCCATGTATGAAAGTTAATGGTTACAGGTTTTCAGCTTTCTTCAAAATATCTTCTTTCGGGTTTAACAGTAAAAAATGAAGCTTATAAAGGTTTGAAACCACTTTTGGGAGAGTAAATGGAGAGTAAATTGTCATTTTAAGTATTGTCAAATAGTTAATTCATCATTAGTTAAACATTAACTCTACATTAATAAACAGTGAGTAGTTTATAACTTCAGCTACAAATGCTTTATTCTAGACTTAAAAGCATTTGTATATCATTGTATTTTCATATTTTGTTAATGATTAATTTTCATTACTGAATTAAGCAGTGCATGATTTACAAACCAGTTATTTATAAGCAGTTGGTGGTTTTCTAAGAGAGTGTGTAGTTATTATAGTGTTACCAAAGTACCTTCTCATGAGGAAACTCATAAAGGTTTATTTGAAGGTCAGTAAATGGTGAGTACATTTTCATTTTTAGGTGAGCTATTCCTTTAATTATTCCCCATGTTGGCAGTTGAGTGTTCAGTGATGTACCTGATGGTAAAGGCTTTCCCAGTAGTCTTGTGTCATCAGTCTGAACAGACCCAGAAAAGCCCAGCCAAAGGTGTCAAAGCTTGTGTAGCCGTAGTTTGGGTTTCGACTTGTTTTCAAACAGTCAAATCCATCAGGGCACTTCCTGTGTGTGGGAGAAATATATACAGGTTTTAAAAGGTGACATATAGTGCATTCACTCAATGTGATATTAAGCTTCCCATTCATAAGTCTTCATGGGGAAACGACCTGGAATAATTAATGTCAGTAAGCGATCAAACTTTGCTCTACAAACAATTGTTTTTAACATCGAGCAGCATAACAAATAAACTTCAATTGAACTGAATTGACTAATAAAAGACCTGAAGAATCTTTTATTATTAAATCATTATTGAAATAACTGCATTTACCTCTTTTTCATTTATTAAAAAGCTAATATACAGTCCACATTTTTGAGACCCACATATTTATTTATTTTTTTAAATTGTTCTCTGATGTCTACGTAGTAGATATGTGGCTTAGGTTATTCAACTATTCTCCAGAAACATTTTTACATGCTTATTTATAACCACAGAAATTTTCCCTAGATTGAAAAAGCCGGTTATGACCATATTTGGAACAGTTGTGAATATTAATGAGCTCTGCTCTGATGCTCCTGTACCTCGTCAGTGTTACACACACGTATACACTAACCAGCCGCTTTATTAGGTACACCTGTCCTACTGCTCTTTAAAGCAAATTTCTAATCAGCCAATCACATGGAAGCAACTCAATTCATTTAGTCATGTAGACATGATCAAGACGAGCATCGGAATGGGGAAGAAAAGGGATTTATTTGGTAATATAATGAATATGGCATGGTTGTTGGTGCCAGACAGGCTAGTCTGAGTATTTCAGAAACTGATGATCTACTTGGATTTTCACGCACAACCATATCTAGGGTTTACAGAGAATGGTTCGAAAAAGAGGAAATATCTAGTGAGCGGCAGTACTGTGGGTGCAAATGCCTTGTTGATGCCAGAGGTCAGAGGAGAATGGCCAGACTGATGCAGCTGATAGAAAGGCAACAGTAACTCAAATAAGCACTCGTTACAACCGAGGTCTGCAGAAGAGCATCTCTGAATGCACAACACATACAACCTTGAGGCGGGTGGGCTACAGCAGCAGAAGACCACACCGGGTGCCACTCCTGTCAGCAAAAAAACAGGTAACTGAGGCTACAATTCACACAGGCTCACTAAAATTGGATAATAAAAGATTGGAGAAACGTTGCCTGGTCTGATGAGTCTCGATTTCTGCTGCCACGTGTGAATGGTAGGGTCAGAATTTGCCGTCAACAACATGAGAGCATCGATCTATCCTGCGTTGCATCAACGGTTCAGGCTGCTGGTGGTGGTGTAATGGTGTGGGGGATATTTTCTTGGCACACTTTGGGCCCATTAGTACCAATTAAGCATTGTGTCAACGCCACAGCCTACCTGAGTGTTGTTGCTGACCAAGTTCATCCCCTTATGACCACAGTGTACACATCTTCTGATGACTTCCAGCAGAATAACGCACTCATAAAGTGTGAATCATCTCAGACTGGTTTCTTGAACATGACAATGAGTCACTGTACTCATGTGGCCTCTACAGTCACCAGTTCTCAATCCAATAGAGCACCTTTGGGATTTGGTGGAACGGGAGATTGGCATCATGGATGTGCAGCCGACAAATCTGCAGCAACTGCGTGATGCTATCATGTTAATATGGAGCAAAATCTCTGAGGAATATTTCCACTATCTTGTTCAATCTGTGCCATGAAGGATTAAGGCAGTTCTGAAGCCAAAAGGGGGTCCAACCTGATACTAGGAAGGTGTACCTAATAAAGTGGCCGGTGAATGTATGTGCTCAAAGTGTGAGTGTAAGAGTCGAATGCAACATGTCACATTGTGGTTGTCTGCTTCAAGCTGAATGTACAAATTAGATAACGTAATATAAGTCCCGGGATGACATGGTGGCTAAACGATTAGCGATGTTGCTTCACAGCAAGAAGGTCGCTGGTTCGAGTCTTGGCTGGGTCAGTAGGCATTTCTGTGTGGAGTTTGCATGTTCTCCCCATGTTTGCATGGGTTTCCTCTGGGTGCTTCGGTTCCCTCAAAGTTTTAAAGATGTGGTACAGGTGAATTTGTCCGCATGTATGAGTGTGTACACTAAGTTAATAAGCGCTCATAGTACATTTTGTTATAATTTAAACTATTCAAAATATCTTGCTATCATATTAAGATTAAGAATCAAAACTACATGACTACAAATACAAAAAGTACTTTAAACATTAACTTTTGCAATATATAAAATCTTTTAAAAGTCACTATGAGATCATTTTATTGCATTCTTGCTAAAACAGCAGTCCCAAAACTTTGAAATGGCCGTGTGCATCTGCACTAATACGCTCATCACATCAGGCAGCACATCAGTCACATGCACCAACAGCAAGATTAGAAGTAAACAGATGGGTATCGAGTTGCAGTTAATTTTTTCCCCCTCCCTCCCTCCCGTCCTCAGTCCATCCTCTTTTTCTCTCTGTCGCCATGGTGACATTAAGTTTGAGTGGCAGCCCAAGCAGAGGACAGACGCGTGTCAATCTGACAGAGGGATCATTTAGTAATGGAACTGCCAACAGCTGGAGAGCAGAGCCGCAAAACCAGGCCATCTGTGAATCTCTCGCCCAGAGGCAGAAAGAGAGAGACTGCGCTAACATGAGCTCCCTGACAGTGTGTTCAAATACACACAGGTTTATATAATGCACTGCAGTACAACACCACATGCAGAGACTGTAACAATAAAACCTGTGTGATACAAAGGAGGAGAAACATTCATGAGTATTCATTCATTTTCCTTCGACTTATTTATCAGGGGTCGCCACAGCGGAATGAACTGCCAACTCATCCGGCATATGTTTTACACAGTTGATGCCCATCCAGCTGCAACCAATTACTGGGAAACACCCATTCGCACTCATTCACACACATGCACTACGGCCAGTTTAGTTTATTCAGTTCACCAACTGCATAGCGCATGTGTTTGGATTGCGAAACTGGAGCACCCCGAAGAAACCCACACCAACACGGGGAGAACATGCAAACTCAAACAGAATTTGAAAATTTGAGAAAGAGGCTGGAATTCGAACCAGCGACCTTCTTGATGTGAGGTGACAGTGCTAACCACTGAGCCACTGCGTCACCTATATCTACACATATGAGCGGGTGCAGCCATTGGAGTCTTTTTGGCTCGACAGTTCTTACTTTTTCATTCACTTCCATTGATTGTTAGACATTAAAGGGCACCTAGGTTACCCCTTTTTTCAGATTTAATATAAGTCTTTTGCGTCGCTAGAATGTGTATATAAAGTTTCAGATCAAAATACCCATCAGATTTTTCATTATACCTTTTACAAGATGCTGTCTTATACTGATTTCCAGCAGGAGGTGGTTTTGTCGTACTGCGCCTTTAAGCCGATTCTTTCCCGCCCACTTTCTCGCCCACTACATGCCTCCTCCCTCAGCTGCGTCAGACAACAGACAGACTTAAAGGAAGAAGGTCTCACGTAGCGTTCGTGAGATAATACAGTAAGAACTAACCTTTACTAATCAGTATTGTGAAGTTGCATTGATGAGTCACACACAATATCGTTACACACACACACACACACACACACACACACACACACCTCAGATGATACACAAACACGCAGGCAGGCAGACAGACAGAGCGCGCTTAGCCTAGTTAAGGCTAACCTTAAGTGTGGATATCTGTTATGCTAATGTACAAAATAAACCTGATTTAACTTCCACAAACCGGGATTGAAGCGTCTTCTTTTATAATTGTTCGGACACGCGCCTGTGCTGATGAAGTAAAGCTGAAGTAAAACGCTGTAATTAATTACACATACTCTGTTTTAAAACACTTTAAACATGTGAAACTCACTCTTAATCACATTTGATGATGATTGCTGATCCTAGCGAACAGAACAGAGCTTTTATTCCCGGTTGCTTTGCGTATGTCTGTCTGGTCTTGTTGACATGTACACGCGACTACCGGAACATGTTAATGGAACAGCTGTCAATCAATTCGGTGGGCGGGGGGATCGCACACCTACGTAATGGTGCGATCGATTTGAAAACAGCTCCAATTGGCCGACCCTTTTTTTGTAGTTAAATTGAAAAAAAAGGACTGGGTGTGTTCATATCACCCCAGTATGACGGTCTATACACTATACCAACACACAGATCTGTCCAAACAGCTTGAAAAGTAGATTTTTTACCATAGGTGCCCTTTAAAATACACATAAAATCAAGACTAACCATATTGATTTTGAGCTCACATTGCTAGTTTTGTGGTGAACAACTCATCAGTGCATGTCGTTAAGAAAGCCCTTGTAATCTTTAATTGAAATCTGAAAATGCCCTTCCTGTTTGTCTAAATTTTCAGATTAGTTCTGTCTGAGGTATTGGGCGTGGCTAACATACATAACCACGCCCCTCCAGCTGTCAGTTTTGACTGGAAACAGAAATTGTGAGGAGGAGTCTGTTAGATTGTAATAACTCTCCCCTAACCATTTCCTTGATCTTGCTGAATGTAATGCTGCATCCAATCAGCTCGCAGTAGAAAAAACAAGCCACACCCACTGTTTTCTCATTTAATAATCCATTTCTCTAGGAACTGCGTCACAATATGGGGAAAAAAAATGGTCGCAGCTTCCAGTTCAGGCGGACTTTAAAAACAGCTCGCTATGCTTATTCTTGTTATATTACTTTTTATTTAATAGCCGTGAACACACTTGTTTGTAGAGCAAGTAGTTTGACCATTTTCTACCGTTTATTATTCCTAGTAATTCGCCTAATAGGCAACTTTTAAAACGATTGCAAAAGCGGGCACACACTGCATTTCAAAATAATATCATTACAGTTGAAATCAAAGGCTTCGGTCTTCTGTGAATCTTTTAATCTTTCAGATCAAGGACATTTTCACAGTATATTGTACAATATGTTTCTCTTCTGGAAAGTCTTTTTTTCCCCTTTTTTAAATATTTCCCAAATTATGGATAACAGAGCAAGGAAGTTTTCACAGTATGTCTGATAATATTTTTTTCTTCTGGAGAAAGTC